GAAACTACCCTTCTGTATGTTCGCAAAAAATGGCATCGAAGGGTCGAACGTTATTCTTTGGTTCCCTCGTGTTAAATTTGCCATATACTGGTCTTCCCACTCTGGGTCAACCTGTCTCTGCCCTTGGTATATCAATGCCCTTTCCTGGAATAGGACTATTATGAGCCTTATCAAAGTTCGTGGAATATTCAGACGGTAAGGCCACTATTCTGGCCCGGCCAAACTGACAAATCGAATTACCTGGCAAAAATTAACTTGACACATTAAGGGCCGGTATTATAAAACACTGAACCGATGGTTGAGTTTCAACCTTCGGTTGAATCCTATTAATTTGCATGGAGTCAACCGAAGGTTGAAACTCGATGTCAGCTCAGAACTGATTTCTTTTCAAAACATGTGTATATTTTTGGAATAAAACAATTTTTTGCCTATCACCTGTATTTATCTTCATAAAAATCATAAAGAATTTATGCACAAAAAATAGTCACCTCACATTGAACGCGGTAAAAGTTAACAAGGGGGGCCAAGACTTTCGGAGATGTGTTTGGATTAATTTGCATTCTGGCAAAGAAAACTAATTGTCGCTCTTCCCTATTGGCGGTGATTTAAAGTCGCATTTTTTTCTATGGGATTTATGTCCAGATATGACTCTAACAACAATGTATTTAATATAATCTTAGCAGAGCGCTTTCGGCCTCCCGGCCATCCTCAGTTCTGTCCCGTGAAGTGGTGAGGTTGTATACAGCAAAAGCACGAACCAAATTTTGAGAGAAGGTCATACTCACTAGTCAAAGTGCACAGGAACCACTGCATGAAATCATACAGTCATATAAACACAAATTGTAAATTGTAAAAATATATAAAAATTTTAAAAAGGACTACCTACACATTAAAAATTGCGACGGAATAACATATTAAAATCCCAATGTATTAGGGAAGAAGAAAGCGGTTGAAGACATTACCCTTAAGTAGGCAATTACTAGTTGAAATTATGTGGTGCCAAGCAGGATCGCATTTTTGCCTTTTTTTAGTTTTTTTCTAAAACCGACTGGCGTCAGCTTTTCCCCTTAGGTCCTACATAAGAGAAACGTCACTAATCGCATTCCAACTTATAGACGCCACTTTTGGCTAGCTTGTCAGTTTTGTCCTAAGTGTTGACCAAACAAGAACCCAAGTTTTTCTTTTAGTCTTCTAGGAGATGAGGAGAATATCGATATCTTATTCAGTGATATTTTGCAGTATTTTTTAATTTGTGGGCAAATATTTATGTTTTTTCAAGATATTTTTTTTAACCTAATACGGAAAATGTATTTATTGAAAAATTTTCAAACGCCAAATGGTTTTTCCATATTATTTGCCGGGTACTGTATGAAAATACTTTAAGTACTTAAATAATATTACTTTGGAATTTCCAATAAACATTGATTTTGACATAATTAAACAGTTGCCTATTTATACATTTATACTTTTGGTATTGGTCATCAGCCGTACAAAATTAGAAATATCGGGAAGCGGTTAGTGAAAAACAAAAAGTTGATTGGTTCGAAATTGGGTACAAGGAGTTTAAGTAATATTTACGGTAATATGTTGCGTAAATTGAATAACTCGGGATTATGATTTTACCTATTTTTTTACATACCAGGCTAGTTTAGTACTTATAACACAATATATTTTTTGATGTCATAATATATAGGTATTTTATTCCTTAAAATTTAGTTTTATGAACTTGACCGACGAAATCTTATTCTCTGCACACTTATACTTATATTATTTCGTGTTTGTCAAAAAAATCATAATTGTCAGATTCAATTACAGGGAAACCACTAACGTGGTACCAAACCACTGATTATTAACTCTTTCTTAGATTTTATGTATTTTTTATTATCTATTGTGTAGCAGTAAGTACCGACTCTAATAATTTTAAAAAATAATTTTCTCATGGTCATGAACAAAAAAAATATTTTGCTATGATTGAGGGAAAACCATAATTTTATTTCAGAAGCATCTTCGAACAGTGAATCACAATACAAATAAATTTAATTTTTTTGTTTATTTTACATTTCAATAATAAAAAGTAGCTACTACTTTGCTACTGGTCTTGGATAATTAGTAATTTGAACTAATTATAGGAAGAGTATCTAGTAAACGTATATTTACGATAATTTTGCAATAGAGCAAATTATCAATTATTCCTATTTGTTTGGCAATGATAAAAATTAGATTTTGTGGACGAGGTCAATTAAAAAATTATAAATCTTTTTGCTAATACCTACAGGAAGCTTTTAGAAGAACTCCGTGTTTTTGAAAAATTAAACATATTCAAAGTAGCAAGCCAACCAATACCCAGAACATTATGCATACCAGACAGGGATGTCAAGAGAAACAGCGCTTCACCAGCTGGTCAGCATTGTGGAAACCGCATTGGAAAACAGGAAGGTAATGCTGGGCTCGTTTTTGGACAAAGAATAAGCTTCTAACAACACTTCGACTCAATAACCAGAACTCTCAGGCACAAAGAAGTTGAGGACACCTGCTGTCTGTGGATCAACTCCATTCTAAGCGAAAGAATGGTAGAAACCACCATCGCAGAGGAGACACTAGCGGCGGAGGTGTAAAGAGGATGCCCACAGGGTGAGGTATTATCCTCGCTCCTGAGGAACCTAGTGGCGGACGATCCTGCTTAAGGTGCTCACTGACGGGGGACATCGGATATGCTGACGACCACGACATAGTCATTATCTCAAAGGTCAGATTCAACACTACAGTTAGGAAGCGAAGGCAAGACGCTTTAAAACGAACCACAAGATGAGTGGATAGAGAAGGGTTAAAAATAAGTCCCAACAACAGATTACAAGCGAGGTCAAGTACCTGGGGGTAACACTGGACTCAAAACTTACCTGGAATCAGCATATCGAAAACACCACCAAAAAGGCGGCAGCATCGATCATGATAGCTAGGCGCCTGCATGGAAAATTATGGAGTTTGAGACCAGACATGCTGTACTGTACTACATAGAACATGAGAATCGCACAAAAAACGTACTAGTCGCGGATAAAACCCAATATCTTCCACTGCTTTTATTCAAAGCTCTGGAACTTTAGGATGATTAAGACAAAATAAGCGAGAACAAAATTCTTGTTTATGAAACTGCTGCACCTGATTAGGTACACAAACCACAATTAAGTATTTGGTACCTTTTATGATATGAATTTTTGCAACCATAAACTAAAGCCACCATGTTTGTAGAAGTATTGGACAAACCAGTGTTTGTATATAACTTAATGACACATAATTAAATACAATAAAGGTAACGATTCACAAGTAAATATAGGCACTAGAAAAAAACCTGAACCTACAAAAAGTTTGAAAATTAAAATTAGTTACAATATTCATCTATTTATTTCTATGTAGATACCTATAGGCATGGGCGCCGGCAGCGGGGTGCAAGGGGGTGCACCTGCACCCCCTGTCAGAAATACATTTAAAAAATTATTTTTATTTTATTAAATTTTTGTTTTTAATAGTTACTGTTTGAAAAATTGGCGAAACGAGAAACGATGGCCCCTCGCACTCTTTGTTTCCCTCGACATTCCTCGGCTCATTTCCGGCTCGGATCGGGTTACCTATTTTATTTTTATTTCGCGCGACATCAACCTGTATAATGGCGGAAATTTCAAATTTACTCAAATTCTAATTTATTGATATAAATTTCTTTAACTTCTACGATTTGATAGCCCGAAAAAGGTATTAAATTGCGAGAAGCCCGTGCCCAGGGGCGGACATATCACCGGGCAGTTCGGTGCGCCGCCCAGGGGCAGTTCGGTGCGCCGCCCAGGGGCCCACGGTCCAAAAGGGCTCCACGATGCTGCAGAAAATTTTCAATATGTATAATAACATTTTAATAAAGCTACTTTCAATAAGGACTCAATTCCTATCTTCTAAATTATCATTTACCATACCGCCCATGCCTAATAATATTCGTTTCTGTGGTTATGAGCATCTGGCAACGCTGAGCGTGCTTCCGAGGTATTCCGAATATATCCGACCATAATTGCGAGAAACACAGATCGACCCAACAGTCCATATATTGTGATTTGATTACCACTAGTTCCAGGCCGCATTTTTATTTTCCTACTTTTTATGTGACACTCAAAGGCAGTGGCGCACCCAGGTGGGGGGGCATCGGTCCAGGGCCCCCCCTAGGCCGCCCGTACAAAACTGTACTTTTACGTACATAAAAATTTGATATCATGGCGTGGCACCCTGACACGTCAATTTTTTATTTAGATTTTTATACACAAGCCACAACCTTTGTAGTCCCACCATTCCCCAAACATCTTTTCTGGGTGCGCCACTGCTCAAGGGATAGGTTAGGCCTAGGGGCCCCCAAATATATTTTGTCCTGAGGGCCACTCGTCCCTAAATCCGCCACTGCCCGTGCCACTTTCCACCGAGGTGAAAATATCATAATATTTACTTAATCAACTAGGAAAATTATTTTTCTCAAAGCTCAAAATAACAGTTTTTGGGCGTGGCACTCGGAAAAAATTTCACGTCTCCGGCAGCTCCTGCGTCGGGCATTCACCTTCTTAAATTAGTAATTTGAACCAATATAACTATCCACGCGACGCCACTGCCCGTATGCACCTCCCTGAAACTAATCCTGGCGGCACCTATGCCTATAGGGCAAGGGTAAAGGTCCCATTAGGTATAACTGTCTCCACTTTGTTACTCCTGTCAAAACTTTAGCATTTTGATTTGATACCTATGTCATCAGAGCCAAGGTTCCTGATTTGAATTTCAAATTCTACCTATCTATATAGTATATACTATACTAAATCAAATGCCTTCTAAGAAGCTTGCTTGTCCTTATAACATTATTTCACAAGTCCAAATGAGCTATCAATCAATAGATACGTTTTTTTTATTGACTTTTGCGAGTATTTTCTGCACATCATAAGCTGCACCTCATTAATAATTATAGATACCTTTTGTTTCAGTTATGAATATCAAAAACAATGGAACATTCCGTACTGGTAGTTTTGACAACAACGAAAAGTCTGATGGACTGGAGCAGAAGAATACCACAACGACAACGCTTAGCATATCACCTAAGTTTAATTTCTTGAATGAACAGGACGGTTGTAATAAAAAAGGTTAGTACACCTAATGTTTCATAGGTACCTATATTCTAAGTGAATTTTCTAGAACTGGCTACCTAATAGATGAACAAACAAAAACTGGTTCAGCCAGATGCAAAGCAATATTGCCCATCTCATTTATAATCGAACAATTGTCTGTTAAAAAACACAGTTTCCATATTTAACGTTTATTTCCTTTGATTCACAATAATTTTTATAGTAAGCAATTTAGATTTGTTTGTTTTGTACAATTCTTGTCCAGTGAAGTAGATATTTTTTTGTCATTCTTGGGTATATGTGGACCACTAAAGACCAATGTAAACAATCGAAACAGGACAAAGTTAGTGGTATCAAATATGCAGGCAGCAGAGATCTTTCAAACAGTTAAAAACTTTTCAAAATCAAAACAATCTCAAACGTGTTAAAGGTGCTATCAAGAAATGCAATAATATCTACAAAAACATACTCAACTTTACACAAGTACCTAGCACAAATTATTCAAGAAGAAATGGAGTTAAAATTGGCAGAATAAGGTCAATATTAGTGAAATTAACAACATTACATAGAAAAATGGAAATGCGGAAAACATACCCAAGAACAACAAAATAATAGATTTATTTGTACGGTAATTTTCATTAGCTAACGCTTTATTACAACTTTGCTTAGGTTTGGATAAACAGAAGTCCGTTGAGTCGGGAATATGTTCTGCAAGTGAATGTGAAGCTATATTGGACAGAGAAAAATGGTACTATGTCGCCATCCAAATATTTATACCATTTATGATAGCTGGTGCGGGTACTATAGGAGCCGGAGTGGTACTTGGAAAAGTAGAGGTAATGACATCGTCTTTTGCAGACTCTATCGTGAGTACGGTAAAGTTGGTCCGATTCCAATGTATTTAGTTTCAATTTATTGGAACGGATCTTTTTTTTTAACCAAATAGGTACTTTATGGAAACTTCAATTTAAGATTTCGACCTTTTTTTGTTGAGAATATTTATTAGAAAGTTGGACTATTGACTCTGTTTTTTCATATTTGACGGAACTAATAAATTGAATTGAGCAAAAATGCTGTCATCTGTCATAATTCTATAAAGAGTGTTTTATATCATATCTCTTAACCCAACAAACACAATTACATTCCAAAGACGTACATAAGGTCGTCGATTTTAGAGTCAAGTACGTCTTGAAGACGTAATGGGCAAGTCGTAGGTCAACTCCATAATACGTCTTAAAGACGTACAACTTAGAGCCATAAAGAACGTCCATAATGCTTCTTGAAGACCTAATTAAGTACATATTGCAAACCAAATAAAAGATGATTTTTTTACTCAAATCGTTTATTATTTATTCGCTATTAGCTTACTAAACCTGGAATAACAACAAAAGAAAAACATTAATTCAAAAGTATTGCAACTATACCTACATAAATAAAGCATAACCTAAATGATCTGCAACAACATTCTGTTGAGGATTGATTGGGTTGGGACTCTGGTAAACTAATTAGCACAACACTGTTTCACTGAACTGACTGAACTTAATTTATTATTAAAATTGGGAATATTCTGTCTATAACAACCTTAGAGCAGGTCTACAGTAGAACTAATTTTTAACCTCCTGTTCTGGAAACATCCATCAACATCACAATAACACATTATACACTTTTTTGCTTATCTCACTTCTGAATTTGCAGGGATGGGTCCAATTAACTAAATTGTTGCTGTATTTTCTTTATTAAATAATTTTCACATAACTTTTGCGCAAAATTTCTAACAGGCTTCCAACCTAACGTGTCGTTCGCCACCTCGCATAAGACATAAAGACATAACTAGGGATGTGGAAAAAATATCGAAATATCAAATAGATGATATTTTTCTTCCGATATATCGATAATATCGTCCGATATTTTTTGTTTCGATATATCGTTATATCGATATTAAAAGTTGACTATCGGTACTCGATATATTTATCGAGCACGATCCAAAAAAAATTAACTGCTCTACACTCTAAGAACTTTTCAAGGCAATAATTTCGATTAAAAGGTTTCATCTCGAGCGATCCAGAGCAAGTAGAGCGGTATCATAGAAATATTTTTAAAAAAAACCCGTTCTATAGTGGCCTAATGACAGTTGTAGACAAGCAATGACATTAAACATACAGAACAAATGAAAATGAAAAATATTCGTTTTTGTAATAATTAATATTTTGTTCAGTGGCGTGCCTGACGGGCCCGCAGGGCCGGCGGTGCGGGAGGGCCCCGGGATATTTGGGGCCCCCAAATTAAACAAGGTATCCTTCTCACACAAAATATTTTTCCACTTATGTCAAATCCAGTGTCAGTTGAATAAATTCTTATGAATTATTGTTCAGTAGTATACCAGAAAATGTGTTCTGCCTTCCAACTACTTTTAGGGCCGGTATTATAAAACACTGAACCGATGGTTGAATTTCAACCTCCGGTTGAATCCTATCAATTTGCATGGAGTCAACCGAAGGTTCAAACTCAACCATCGGTTCAGTGTTTTATAATACCGGCCATAAAAGTCCTTCCGGTTACCTCAGCTCAACCGGAAAGGTCATTTTCCAAATTAAAATTAATAAAAAATGTCCTTAGGTTGACCATGTCTCAAACTCGTCTAAGTTCTTTAGCTCTCATCTCAATAGAGCACGAAAGACCAAAAGAGCTTAAAGGGGGTGTGCGCCAAAAATTAAAATTTTAGTGTAACAAAATCTAAGAATAACTGTTCAAACCTCGTTATTCTACGATAAACCATCGCTGAGATATACCGCTTTAAAGTGTGGACGACGCTCTCGTGACGTCACGAAAACTTCGTCCAGCCGCGCTCTGCCTTGTTAATTTGATTGTTTCCGGCAAGCGAGAGTGGTTTTTGTTTAGATTATTGCAGGTAACACAGGAAAAACATATGTAAATTTAATTAACTCCAGTTTCTCGTGCGTCGCTTGAGCTTTCGTGACGTCATAGGGTGAGATGCGGTACCTTCATAGAGCCATATCTGCGGTATTATTTGTCATAGAGGGGTGCGGATTTCACTGTTATTCTTAGATTTTTTTTTCTCTTTTTTTTGAGATGAAGTTGTTTTTTTGGCGCACACCCCCTTTAAGATGTAAATATTAATGAACTTTACGCTGTCCAACCAACCTACACCTTCAAAAAGGTTCGTTGCTATTGGTCATTTATCAGCCCGCTGTACACTGTAAAGTGACGTTTTGTAAGATTTTTAAATAAATAAATGGCATAAATCAGTGTTCAGTGACCAGTGTAAACCTGGCCGCCAATCTGACTCTGTCATACTCCGTAGGTTCGTTGGACAGAGTGTAGTTGATCATTATTTATCCAGTCGTTCTACTAGTCGACACAAAAAATGCTAGTGTCTGAGAAAATGGTTTTATTACACTTTTCTACGGAAGCCCGGTCATGCAATCTGTCTTCCGAGTTCATAGTTCTGACGTCACAACTCGGAATTTCTGATTTACTACGTAAGCAGTCCGTTATCGATATTATCGTTGAGAATTGTGAATGGTAACCTAAAAATTAGGTATCCGGTTCAATTGTTTTTATTTGCATTTGCGACGTTATTTTTAACAAAAAAAAAAACAACTCCATAGCAAAACCTTAAACATTCTATACAACATGAAGCAGATAACCACCATTTTAGAGGCCTTTGTCTTCTGTCTCTAGATCTTAAACCAATTTTTACCAAGCCATCTCATTCGAGACCATCAACATTCAATTCTTTGATTTGATATGCTCTTGCCTTGTATAAAGCTTTTTTGGCGTGCGAGTATATCGGGGTGAAAATATCAAAAATAGGTTTGTGTAATATGTTTGTGCAGCAACCATTGAGATTGAGAGCAACACACCTCAGGTCTGACTGCTTCTGACTGTTTTCAACCAAGGAAATTCTGACTGGTTTGGGATTTCTGCAGAAACAGACCTATAATTATTTTGTGTCCGTAAATCAGTTCTCACAGAGTTTAGGCGTAAAAAAAAGACAACCTATTTTAAGGGCTGCAAGTACCTACCTATGTGCCAGACGATAGTAAAGTTGTTATAGGGTCAATAATTTATAACCTGCTCGTCCTGCTCCCACAAGGCTGAAAATGCTGAAATTTTGAGGGAATATTCTTTCATTGATTCAAAAAGTAGGTATATGTAAACAGCCAGCTTATTCTGGCGGTTGCGAGTGTCTGCCAGACCAGACGAGTATGTAGTTAGTAGTATGATGTTCGATGGGAGTGGGAGTGCGAGCGCAACAGACTTATACGTATGGGTTCCAATGTCAGAATGAGAGGATACGATATGACTACTTACTATATACTCGTACAGTTATATCTTCAATTTCCACCAAAATAGTAATAAATGAGCATTTCCGAGTTATGACGTAGTAAATCAGCAATTCCGAGTTATGACGTCAGAACTATGAACCAAGAACTCGGAAGACAGATTGCACGACCGGGCTTCCGTACTTTTCTCTATTATTTCTTAGTTTTAGTTTTGCTTGAACCAGAGTTTGGTTATAATTTTTTTATTTTCACAATTTTTTTCATAGTTTTTATATCTGTTTTTTTTTACCAGAGTAGTACCTACTTATTTTTTATTTCATGTTATGATCTTTAATAATTTTTTTTAATGATATTATTTGTTTACTTTTATTTCTTCCGAAACTGTTCGGGGCCCCCAAGGAAAATCTCGCGGGAGGGCCCCCAAGAAACTCGGCACGCCCCTGATTTTGTTTATTCATAACTTGCTTGTAAAAAAAATCCTTTTACGGTATAACTGGTACAGAGACATAAAATAATAGATACTTTTACTTAGGGCCGGTTTCCCAATAGCAAGTCACCCCCCTGGTTAAGCATAACTCCAGGGTAAACATAGCAACTGGATACACTTACCCGAAGGTGACTCACTATTGAGAAACCGACCCTTAATTGAGCATTTAATTTTTTTGTCGATATATCGAAATATCGATATTTTTCAACGATATATCAAACGCTCGATACAACATTAATTTTAATTATCGATATGATATATGTATATCGATATTTTTTTTCGATATCAACATCCCTAGACATAACGACATAACCTCAATCTCGGAACAAGGATATTACACCTCTGTTTCGCTAACTACCCTAACATCTACGTCATCATTTATCAAATTTCAAAATGACCATAAATGAGAGCGAAATTCAAAGAAAGTCTGTTTTTTTTTTTTAAATATAATTCCCCGAATCAAAAATCAGTAACTATGTTGGTAACACAAGCCTTTTCTACATAAAAAATTTGAAAGCATTGACAATTTCACATTGTATTGCCAACATAATGTCATTTTGACTTTTATCTTTAAAAAAAAACAGACTTTATTCAAATTTAAATTCCTACAGATCTGTTTGTATTTTACACTTTAAACATAAAACCAAAATGGTGGACGTAACTGTACGTAATATGGATGTTTAATATGTACCTACATAAAAGGTACAAAAGTGTACGTCTTATGTACGTTCTAAATAGGTCATATGACGTACGGACGTAAATATGACATAAAATGGACGTTTTAAGTATGTAGTGTGTTTGCTGGGAATTCATTAATGAAATTTTCGGTCGCTAGTTGTTCTCGCATTTCTACTGTGACTTCTAGATAGGGTGAATTAACCAGACGGCGGTATCGGTTGCAAATAATTGTGAACTTCCCAGAGCTCTCTATTGTCTCTTTCAAAGCTGTCGTCGGTATTGATCCATAACGACTCTTAAAGGCATCAACATAGTTTTGTTGGGAAGGTAGCGGACGAGTTTCTAATAGGCCTAAAGCACAGTC